TTCTTAAGCATACCCAGACTTCCCTCTTCCTCCTTCTTGTTCATTCTCTTCCTTCCCTCATTTTCATGCTCCGTCATTATTTTCTCTTTCTCAGTAACTTGACCATTTCTACATGTTCAATGCTTTCATTTACTCATGTAAGAATTTTGATCCCCTAATGTGATGTAGGCTCATCAGTGGGTTCAGGGAAATTAAATCGTTTGTCAACTTCATGCCCACGGCGTTCTTATGTGTACCTATAGGCTCTTATGTTCATGGATTATACTATTGAGACCACATGGTTCCCTGCACAAAGCTTAGGCCAGAAGTGACTTTTGTGTTGTATATTTATTTTATTTAAAAAAATATTTTTGAAAACATATGTGGGTGTTTTTCCTGCACATATATGTATGTGTGTGTACCACATACACGCTTGAGGAGGCCAGTAAAGGTTGTTAGATTTCCAGGAACTGGTATTATAGATGGTTGTGAGCTGCCATGTGAAAGCTGAGTATTGAACCAGGGTCTCTGGAAGGGCAGTAAGTGCTCCTAGCCATTGGACTCTTGCCAGCTCCAAATGTTTGCTTTTTTTTTTTCCACTGATCTCTGCCTGCCCCTGTGGGGACAGAGTCAGGGGTGTCAGTCATTGGCTAATCCCATGTAAAAGCACCTTGGCCTATTCCTTGGAAAACTGACTGTCGTAAGAATTTTACTTCACAGTGGGAGTGTCTGTGCTTTTCGCTTTATCAAGCCTAATCTTTTAAAATTATGCTGGTCTTTGGTCTTCTTCAGCAATGGACTTTAGATTCGAGTTTTGCCTTAGACTGAGTAAGCCTGTAGGAGTTCGGACTCCATGCAGTTTCACTTGACTTAGCACCTTGCCTTAGCTTTTGATCTTGTTCCACCTGGCCGGATATGTTCCTCGAGTTTTTGCCTGTCTTCACGCCTTATTCAATACACAAAGTATTTTGTGAGCAAAGCAAAGGTAGAAGTAGATGGCGCCATAGACATGCATACATGTAGCCCATGGGCTCCTGGAGGACAAGGGCAGTGTAGGCATCCCTTTTCTTGGTGCCAGGCACCCTAGGAGGTGTTTAGTAATAGCTTGTTGAATTAAATCGACAAAAGCAGGCCTTTGCAGGTAGGCAAGGCAAAAGCGCTCTTTCTTTGCGTTTGTTTTTAATAAGAAGATTGAAGAGAGTCAGTGTCCTGGTGAAAAGAACTCACACCTTCCTGTTCCCAGCTGTGGAGTCTTGGATGAGTTATTTAGCTTTTCAGGACCCTATCCCTTTCCGTTTAATGTGAAGTAGAGGTAAGAATGCCCCAGTGGACTGCTGTGAACAGTGCCTGCTCTCCTGACTCCACATATCCTCTGGCCCATAATAGCAGCCAGCTTGTGGTAGGTGCCTCTTTCCTCTTGTCAATGGGAGCTGTTCTTGGAAAAGCAGAGCAAGTGGATTCTCTACGACCACACGGCCATCCAGTAACTGTGATGTTATCTGTAAAATAGATGTGGCTTTTGACCTAACTGTAGGGAATGAAAATTAATTGATGGGTTGTTTTGTTTTGTTTTGTTAAAAACTCCTTAAGAATGGCTCAGTATGAGTACATGTCCCATTTCATCAATAGAATAATCTGCAAGTATCTCGTCTTTTGTTGTCTAGATGCTTTGTGTCTGTGATCTTAGATATTTATTTTCAATTTTGCACCATTTTGCATCAGAATAAAAATGTAGATGGAAATACAAAACATCATTTTCATGCTTCACATAAATGGGCTTCCAAAAGTTGAGCACATTTACCTGACTCCATTTTCTGCCATATGCTGAGAGAACACCACTCTTGTCAGCCACATGACCGCATATTCCATTTTTCGCTCTCATGTTTTGTGGGTTTTGGCAGTTTCCTACTAAACATAAAATTGTTCATTTTCGAGATGTTCAGCCCCTTACAGATGGTCAGTATGGAGTCTGGAGTATGTGTAGTAGAGAGGGCAGTCACAGGGAAATGTCTGTCTCGCTTCAATGTCAGCAGGCATTGCGTTGGATGGTGGTAAAGTCTGCCTCCTATGCCAAAGTGGAGTCTACAGATGCCACTGCTGGGCAGCCTGGCACCTAGGACTAAGGAAATAGAAGGGTTAAAGTGCCCATTGCAAAGCCCCACTCCTGTCTGCCATCTTCCTCCTCAGAACCATAAATACTTAAAAATGAGAGGGGGAGAGAGAGGTAGAGAGGGAGGGGAAAGGAGGGTGAGACAGACACACACACACACAGAGAGAGAGAGAGAGAGAGTCACTCGGTTCCTGGTATAAGCAGGCACTAAGTAATGTCCACTTTAAGGCCCATGTGCTGGGCAGACTGTGTCCATGGGGCCAAGGTTTCTGTGAAATGTTATTAGCCTGGAAATGGAAAAGATACATTTCCTGCTTGAGACCTTAAGTGGGCAGAGCTATAGTTATTTATATCTTTATTAGTTTTCTATTCAGTAATAATGGATATGGACATGAACTGATACTTTATTGCTTTTGGATGTGTACAACACTTTTTCTTCTAGAGGGAAATCTATAGCAAGAATTGAATTTAAACACTCTGAGGCCAGTGGCAGCTTAGGCTGGGACAACCACTTTGCCGCCCAATGCATAATTTTCATTGATGATAATATGACTGCAACACAATACCAAAAACTGGCTCCTTTCTACTGCGCAAGAGGCAAAGGACCGAGGATACCAAGTTTCCAGTCTCCGGAAAATTCCACCAATGATCTCTCCCTGGGGACAGGAGAGTAGAGGCATGGAAATAGGATAAATTTCAAAGAAAACTTTTTTTTCCATAAAACTTTTTGCAGCAAGGTCAGCTATCATCTTGAGTTTTCCTTCAGAGGAAGAAATTCATGTGGAGCTGGAAATCTTGATCATTTACATTTTTACATTTATCTATCTATTTGTGTGTGTGTGTGTGTGTGTGTGTGTGTGTGTGTTTCTGTGTGTCTGTGTGTAGATCAAATGTCAATATGCAGGTCTCTCCTTCCATCATGGGGGTTGCAGAGATCAATTCAGTTTGTCAGGCTCGTCCTTACCCTCTGGGGACATCTTGCTGACCCTTACTTAACTTTTAATCTTGAATTTTTTAGTGATTTTACTCGTTTCCAAAGTTAAAGCTGAGGGTCACTGATTTCAGAGGAAGGAGCAGGTGAGACTTCCCTGGTTACAGGATGGGAGCCTACCCACTGAGACCTTGGGCTTGCCCCACTGGGGGGTATTTCAAAGGAAATGAAGCAAATGACTATAGAGCCCTCTAAGAAAGTGGAGTGAAAGGATGTCAGAGCCCAGGTGAAGCACCTCTCTTCCTGAGCGCCTCCCTCCCCTAGGAACATTCAGCTTTGAGTTTTAGCAACAGCTCAACCAAGTCTCCTTATGCCTGTGGACTCTTCACTTCCAAAAGCCAAAGGGATGAGCAGTCTGGTGTCTGTCTGGAGCTTAGGCAAGTTCCTAGATCTCTCTGTTACCTGAGCTCTGAGATGGAAGGTGTGAGGAGACCCAGGAAATCTGAGAGAGGAAATATGAGGCAGGTGTTCAGCTGGGTGATGGGAGAATCCAAGATGTCAGCAAGGACAGGGCAGAGAGTGTGCAGGTTGGAGGATTCCTGAGAGAGAGAAGTGTCAGAACATCTGGAGCTCTAGCAGGAGGTGAATAAAACAGAAGTGAGGACCTTCTGGAGAAGCCAGGGCTGGACCATGGCTTTCCTTTGGAAGGCTACAAAGCCTGGGTGCTCTTGGGAGCTCCTGGAACTGCAGACACTGCTCCACGAATTGCACAGGAACTGGAAGGGTTTATTTGAGAGCCCTGCTGGGGTGACAGCCTTGAAGGGCGGGGCTCCTGGCTTGTCCAGGAAAAATAGAAAGTGAAGCAAATTAGGATAGGCCCTGGTGTTTTCATGAAGGAAAAGAATTTCTTACTAGCTCACTTGTGTGGAAACCTTCAGATTGTGGTTTTTGTTGTTATTTTTACCCATTCCGGAATTTCCATTCCTGGATTTTCAGAGAACCAGGCTCTTCATTGTTTACTTAGAAGGATTGCTTCAGTTAACTGAGAGAGTGTCCTCAAACCTGTGAAACAAGATCTTTCAGTAATTTTATACAGCATCAATTTAGTATGTAGAACATACTGAAGCCCTGTCAGGAACACAATCGCAAAATCCTTACTTGTGACGAAGTATAAAAGAGATGCTTACTGTGTATGGAGGTAATACATCGGCAAAGGACATTTTCAGATAATCTGTGCCCATGAGAGAGCCAACAAATGCTGACAGCCCATTTTATAAAGAAAAGATCTATCTTCTGCTCCCAGGTTTAACACGGGAAAATTGTTCCCAACTGTAGTTTTGAAACCGATGAAATGGACTGTGGCTTAAACTACCCTTCCACCAGCTTCCTCTACTGTTTAGAAAAATAAATTTTAATGTGTTAATCAAATGCCAAAAAAAAAAAAGAAAGAAAGAAAAGAAAATAAAAAAAGTTAAATGTTTGCCTGGGTCTTACTGGAGTTCCAAGTGAATCAAATGGCAACTTAGTTCCTAATGAGTATGTGACAGCAAGAAGTTACCTGTCAAATACAAGTTGGTCCCTGGTTGGTAGGAATCACTGATGAGTTTTCAGAGTGCTCTTCTAATGGACACAGTCCCCGCCTCTGGAATCAGCACGCCTGCTCACAGGTTGTTAACATGCTTCTTTATGTCTGCGAACAGCATTGCTCAGAGTTTGCAGAGGCTCAGGGAGATCAGAGCCAATGAACTACCGGGGAGGAGAATTCCCATCAAATCAAAACTTTGATCACCACTCGAATTTTCTGAAAAGCTGCACCTACAAAGGAGCTGTGTCGGGATCCTGCTATGCACAGTCCATGGTGCAGATGGGCCAGTTCCTCCCCAGAACCTGGTGAATGGCCGGAAGGGAGGGGAATGGCTCTATCAAACCTTGTGGCAAATCTCTGGACTCTGTGGAGTGACGGGTGTCTTTGTTTTACAGTTGTTCAGCACATCAAGAGACACAACATTGTTCTGAAGAGGGAGCTTGGTGAAGGAGCCTTTGGAAAAGTTTTCCTAGCAGAGTGCTATAACCTCTGTCCAGAGCAGGATAAGATCCTGGTGGCCGTGAAGGTAAGAGAACATTCCAGAATATCTCATGGTCCCACTAAGGTGTAGGGCTTTAGTTTTGTTTTATTGTAGTAACCAATCCGGGAGTACATTATGTCTTCAATGGGACACACGTGTTTAGATTCTTTTGCCTAAATGGGTCCTCAGAAGGACATGGGGTGGGGGTACATTCAACTGTCCACAGGAAGTGTTTCTTGCAGGCAACCCTCCAATTTTCAGGCTATGTTTGAAAGTTATACCAACAAAGTTCTAGATCCAGGTCAACGGGATCAGACAGAACAGAGTCAGCAAAGCTATGGTGCAAGCTTCTTTCTCCAGATTTTGGAGGCTGGTGACTCTACTACCTGAAAAGGGTTGCATTTTCCAGAATCTAGAAGGAAGGAATATTGACTCCATTGCACTGACTTTCCCTATATACCATCCATACTTGTCCCTTCCAAACTGTCTAAATCCACAGGATAGTTTTTACAGCATAGACATGATTTCAGCAAGAGTTGGATGACATGTCCTATAGATTTCATCATCATAGCAAATGTTAGAGTTTCTACAAAATAAAGAAATCCGAAAGTCCTTCATCGTAGTCATGTTCTCCCAAAGTTAAAAAAAAAGAGTCCTGTTCTCCAACAAAATAAACAATAACATTGAAAAGATCAATTTCCTGTTCAGCTTTCTAGAGCTTAGGGAAAATATGATGATGAGCTTGGGCAGACCTTTGAAACATGCATTATAAATTTTTTGAAAACTCGCTAAGGTATTTTTGTTAAGTGTTTATCAAATATTTAAAAGGTCATACAATTGTAAAATGAGTCAAATGTAAAAAGCGTCAATGAATGTGGTTGTGGCTAATGTAATAAAATTCAACCTCTTAGATTAATTAAAGATGGTGAAGTTATCATTGTTGTTGAATTGCGTTTATACTAAACAGGGACCATTTGCATGAATCATATTTCTTTATCCAGTATAAACTAGGTAATATTTTATTCCCTTAAGAAATCAGGTGCACATTCCACTATAATACCAGGTTTATTATGCTATACACACATAAATAAGTAAGGGAATAAAACTATGCTTAAAGTCTTCCATTCTAAAAATCAGTCAGTTTCATAAAAGTTATTCCAGATAGAAAAAAGTGTACGTTTTCTGTCCTCATGATTTGAAATTTTAATATAAGCCCAGTCCAGAGTGGAATGACTCTCGTAAACTCCCAGAAAACCCTTAAGAACTGCAGCTTTCGACGGCTAAGGGACCAGTGCTTCTAGGAATTATCAGCTCGTCAAATGCACATTAGCTCTCCAGCACAGGGAGATTCGATGGGGCTTGAGAGAAGAGGGAGAAGAGGGCTATCCTAAAGAGATGGGAGAAGCCGCTGCAGGACGGATCTGTGCTGGTTGGAGGGATTAATTCCCTCTCTGTTCTTACTTCTTTTCTTCCATCTGTTGACAAAGCTCGAAGCTTCCCTATTTTTTTTTTTCTTTTTAGCACATCCTATTCAGGGTGGCAGTGTCTTATCTTCTCTAGTTTATGCTTTTTCTTCAATCTTCTTTACCCTTGGGGATAAATGAGACCAAAGGTGCTGCTACTTTTGCAATTTTATAGATGAACAAGTGTTCAGGCTGGAAGAATTGCGGGGGTTGTCTACCTCTAGCCAAGCCGTTTGTATCAAACCAATAAAATGAAGACCTAGGTCCATGGTGGGTCCATGTCTTACACGCTACTTGGAGGCCAGTCGGGAAGCCAAGTCCAGGCTTTTGACTCGGAGTTTACTTCACAAGTATGTGAAAATTCTGGGTAACCAGGGGGTTCTAGGTGACAGCGTGGGAATAGTGAAGACAGCCTGGCCAGACATGTGGGCAGCCAGCAGCATTTTCAGTAGCCCTAGCCTCTCATCCCCGCCCTGGGCCGACTTTTCTATACTTTTACAACTCCCTAAGGAAAAGGGGCTAAGGGGCTACAGTCGGGATGTTTGCAGCTTGTACATTCAGATCCCCTTTGAGCAAACGCTGAGACAAAGTGTCTGGCCTAGTCTACCAACAATGCAGGGTGAACTGACGACGCTTAGTTAGGTCCTGGTCCACCCCTGCCCAACCTCAGCCCTGCTCTACAGGATCACTTACCATTCTGCCTCTCTGTTCACAGCATACTTTGCTGTGGGTCTCTCTCCTGCTGACATTGTTAGTTAGGCCCTCCTCTCGTTTAGTTCCAATTACAGCTCCGATTCTTTGAATCAGACCCAGCACCCATTCTTGCCAAGTATGTTTCTGCAAATTAGTGATCTGAGATAAATGTTTGCTCATTAAACAGTGCTGCTGGGTGTGTGTGGGCGTGGGAGAGTACTTGACCCTTTGTCAGATCCTCTTTTCCCTTTACCAGTCTTCTTGGAGTTAAAATGAAATTGTCGTCGCCAACGAGAAGGACAAAGACACCGTAGATTAAAATTTCACTCTTACTTCGTGACCACACACCTAAGGCCTTACTTAGCAGTGACCTTGAGTGTGAATGTTTGTTATCACAAGCTTACCTGCTACAACTCAAACTTGAGCCAGGCACCATGTCAGCTCTCTGGAATTCAGAGGCTGTGTCTTCGTGAGCTCTAGGGTGAATCAGGTCACAATAACTCACAGACTTTTCACACAGACTCTCTGCAGCCTGGGCAGACTTGCTTGCAGGGCTTTGGTCCAATTGAAAATATATTCAGGTCTAAATTAAATCTTGGAGGAAAGCGTCCATCATTGCCCTCTGACCTTAACAAAATGGTTTATGTTTTGCGCTTCATTTTTTAAGCAACGCTAAACTGAACACATCTTCCAGGACAGCACAGCCTCTCACCTCTCTGGAGTAGCTTGGGTTGCTCCTATTCCATTGGCTGCACCCAGGGATGTTTGACAGCCTTTCTGCTGTTGCCTAGCAACCCCCGCAGCATTGACTATGCATGCTAAGAAACTGCAGCCATTGTCCTTTTTCCATCTCTGGAAAGAGCTGACTTTGGTTTGAAATCCAAAGCTTTCTGTGCAGATTGACAGGTGTCAGGTTCAGGTGAATTCTAGTGTTGATTCTCCCAAATAATTTAGTAGGTTGAAAGGTCCAGTTTTCTAGGCCACATGCATGCCTTCAAGGACACACAGGCTGCTCCCATTAGAGGATCTGTTTGTTTGGATTCAGCTGAATTGTGAATTGCCCTTTTCTTGATTTTTTTATATGACCTTTGTTTTTCATGGATATTAGCCATTTTCCCCTTTATACTGAATTATTTTTAAAAAAGCCCATAGCGAGGAGAGAAGTGAAGACACCAGTCTTTGATCAAACCCAGTTACTTTACCTTTGAGTTACTCAGTTGCCAAGGAAACACTCCATCGCAGTTCCCCTGCATTAACTGTCGATGCATTAGCTATTTTTGGCCCCATCCAACATGCATTTCAATAACTACCCTTCCTACAACTTTTTTTTTTTATATCATGAATGCAAGCTGATTTTTAGGTTTTCAAATAAAGCCGCAAGTCTGCTTTGTAGGATCTATTCACCTCCCTGGCTAACTCCAGGTTATTTCTAGAAACAAGGAATGCTGAATATGAGAGAGACCTCTAAAAGTACAGAAATAAAACCTTAGCCTGGCGCTTTATGGTTGAGAAATCTGAGACCCAGGAAGTCAAGCAACTCTCTCAAGGTGTTAAGTTAAAAAGAGTCCCAGACAGGGCACAACTGAAGTCTTAGCAGAGCCAGAAGTGTGCTGGGCAGAATCAATAGACACTTTCCTGAGAGCATATTTTAAGATTTTTGCTTTTAAAGTTTCTGAATTCCTTCTTTCCCACAGAGGAATTAATGGCATTTTTCTCCCCCAAGAGTTTGGAAAAGCTACCTCACAAACTATCTTTTCACCAGGGGCAGCACAGCATCTGCCCCAATACCCAGTCCACACCCAGGGGCCCAGTACAGCAACATCAGCTGATATGTCTCGGTTCAAGCTGTCTCTTTTGAAGGCTTGTCTTTTCTTGTCCCCCAGACAGATCAGACTGCGTTCTATCTGCTGCCAAGGCATCTTTAATTGGCCTTTATAGCACCATCAACGTTTTAAAATGATGTATTAGTGTGTTTACTTAATGAGTGACATCGCATGTCTGTGACCTCTTTTAGGGTGTCAGTCATACTCTCCAGGGGGAGCGATGACTTCTAGCACATTGCCTAATATGTAGTATGGTGTAAAAGAGAAACGCTAATTGAATGAATGAAGAGATGATAGGTGAGTGGATGGGTGCAGACCATGGAAATAATAGGATTCGGATGCACTAGTGTTGACCGTTGGCATTTCTACACAACAAAGTGGCTTTATTAAACACTGATAGTCACAGCTGAAAGTTTGTATATGATATATAATATTAATAATAGAATATACTGAGAACTCATTTAGAAATGGATGAATAATAGCCAAGTGCAGTGGCACATGCCTGAAATCCCTAGCACTTGGGGAGGCAGAGGCAGGTGGATCTCTGTGAGTTCAAGGCCATCCTGGTCTTCAAAGAGAGTTCCAGGACAGCCAAGGCTATGCAGAGAAGCTCTGTCTCATAAAAGCCAAACAACAAGAACAGAAATGGTTAAATAAGCCTGTCATGGTGGCACACACTTCTAGTCCTAATACTTGACAGCAAGACCCAGCATTGATGGTAACCTTCAGCTGCATAGTGATTTTTGATACCAAGGGGGCTATCTGAGACCTTGTCTCCAAATGAAAGAAAAAGGGAGGAATGGCTGAATAGTTATATAGATTAAAAACAAACAAACAAACAAACAAACAAAAAAAACCAAAAAAACAGAACTTCATAGGACTTGAGAGATGGCTCAGCAGTTAAGAACACCGGCTGCTCTTGCAGAGGACCTGTGTTCCTCCACCAGCCCCTACATGGCAACTCACAATGATCTGTAACTCCAGTCACAGGGGACGCAGCAGCCTCATCTGGGCTCCAGGGCCCTGCACATGTGAGGTGCATAGGCCTACACACAGGCAAAACATA